ATGTTTAACATTGGGAAATGTATATCTGTTAATCTATACATTTCATTGTTACCAGTAAGTATTTCATTTATTTTGAACAAATTTTTTAAAATTGACTTGAATAAATTGTAGTAAGAATTCCAACGTGTAGAGCAATAGTTCTTTAATGATGTGTTTAACAAATGCTGCAAATTTGATTTTTTTAAATATTTGACCAATTTTTTACAGGCCTCAAATATTGGATGTGGCTCTTCTGTATTTTGGAATGCAGCTTCCAATATTGTTAAACAAATGATTAACACAGTTTATGCGTTCGTGGTCCTTTAACGCTTTTATAATGTTGGAACCCCGATCACTTACAAATATCACATTCCTCATATCTTTAATTTCAAAATTCGATAAAAGTCCATATCCATTGTTTTGGTTCCTAGAACTAACTCTTTGAGGTGGCTATTTTCGTGAAAATGTAAAGTGGCGCATAAAAAGTTTCTTTTAACAAAATTGTCGGTCCAAAGTCACAAGTTATTGATACTCCTTCGGCAATAATAGGGCGCAAATCACGAGTTATTTGTTGTTTTCTTTCCGTTGCCATGTCGTTTACATAACGTGATACTTTTGTTGAATTCGAAATCAGCACGTCAATGTTAATATTACTTCCATCTTTGCCCCAATATCGATCAATTTTTCAACCATTTTTTTGAAGCCCTTTCCATCTACCGGTGAAAAAGGCCGACAATCTTCAATCACTCATTGAGAACATGCAGTACACTCTCTGTGTCTTCACTATTTACATGTGTTATTTCTCGTTCGCCAATATTATTACTTTCAATATAACATCTATGACGAACGAGGTTTGAGGTTTGCTTGCCATATTTTAAAATTTTGTTGCACTTTCGGCAATAAACAATTCCATCTATTATACTGTCATCTTGTTTTTTAATAAGGCCAAATAAATTCCAAATTTTACTCACACTATTTGGTTTTGCTATTATATGATAATCACCAGTATTAATTTTTGTAATTATTTCAACATCCATATTGATTCACAACATACTCGTTTCTTGGAAAAAACTTCTTCGTTAATGACAATTTCTCGATGAGAATTTAAGGAACTTAGATCAGGGTATCATTTCTTGATAGGTATAAAATAAAGACGGAATTTTATTTACTATAACAATCCACTACATGGCGCTGCCATACACACTTTTGCAATATAATTATTTATATATACCAGAAATCGACGTCAATGTCATATGTCATAATGTCAGGCCTAATGTTAACTTCACATTTCTTTTCCATAAAGAAGACATCACAAACTTTATTATAAATATGTTTGTAAAATTAATTTTGTTCAACTTTTGTAAAAGGATAAATAACATACAAAAGGTAAAACTAGAAAACTAAATTCTAAGAACACATTGGTTCAAGCTGGTCATATTTTTTTAAAGAGAAAAAAATAAATTTATTTAATAAACTATTGTGTTTATATTTATCAATTAAACTAAGAAGTGGAAACCTGAGTGTAATTGAACTCAGGCATTATATCATACATATATATGTATATAAATATACCGAACACATTCAAATTTCGCGGTTTATTAAAATTACTTCTATTACAATACCCTTGGCGGTGCTGTATTCAATTTGGTCGGTAAAATAGTGTGGAGTAATGCTTCTATATAAGTATAATATAAATATTTTATCTACGACTGCTTGGATAAGTCATCATTACATTATTTGAGGTGATTTGAGTTACGTAATGAAGTTCATTACCGCACTGGTTTCATTACGTAACGCATTTTTAGCCTAATCAGAACAGATTTAATTTATTGAAACGAGGAACAACACAAAAGAAAAAGTGCTATCTACTTACAGACAAACAATACTATTTGTTATAAACATTAATTGTTATGTTTTTACATTTCGAAACACTTATTGCAGATGAGTAAACATGTTGTTGAAACTGACAATTCAAAATTGTCAACAATCATTTCAAAATATTTTTATAAATGTCAAATAGACTTTTAAAGAAATTGATTTTTTAGTAATTTTTAGCAGTCGTAGATAAAATGCTGTATATCATACGTGGGCTAGAGCATAATTACAGTTCTCGTACAATTCTACACACTCGTACAGTAATTATGTTTCTAGCCCACTTGTAATATAAATAACTATTCTATGACTTAGATAAAGTCACTACCAATTGATATTTCACAGCGTACTGATTGACACTCTTTAATATCAAAAGTAACTAGATTTGTTAATATCATAGCCTTCTAATAGTGTATCTATTAGATATACATTTCTTTTAAGTTCCGATTTCTTGAAAACGATTTTTTTAACACTTTTTTTGGTTACTTTGAATAAATTTAAAGAATTTCAGATAATATTGCACGTGCTTAGACAAGTTTAAATAACTATAGATATTTTGCGCTTTTAAATTTTGGGCAAGTTTAGATAATTGTAGACAATTTTGTAAAGTGTTCCGAATTTAGATAATTTTAGACACAACAATTTCAGACAGTTTTGTGCATGTTTAGCCAAATTTAAATACAATTTAATTAGGCAATTACAATTAGGCTATTTCATAACATTTTTCAGTTTTGAACAACTTTAGACAAGTTTAAACAATTTTAGATAAATTTTGCGCTTTTAAATAATTTTGAGCAAGTATACATAATTTCAGTAATATTTTGATTATTTTTCACTGGTATTTTGTAAAATTTTGATAATTTTAGATATAAATAATTTAGACAATTTTGTACAAGCCAAGTTTTGATAATATTAGCCACATTTTGATCGTCTAAAATAGACGGTTTTGAACAAATTTAGACAAGTTTAAACAATTTAAGACAAATTGAACGCTTTTAAATAATTTTGTACAAGTTTACATAAGTTCAGTTACATTTTGAACTATTTTGTGAAATTTTGATAATTTTAAATACGTTTTGAATATTTTAGAAAATTTTGTATACGTTTAACCAAATTTAGATAACTTTGCATACATTTAAATTGTGTCTTAAATTCAACTTAACATTAATTTATTTATTATGTAATACTTTTGACGATTCGCTGTTTTCGTTACATATGAGATAGACGCCTACTGCTTGATGTTGTAGAACGACACTACACCATATTGAGCGAATCGTGTGTTACATTGCAGCGCGCTCTTGATGTTTTAGTGTTGATTCACCATCCGTTTTTTTTTGTGAATGTTTCATTCGGGCAAATAAAACCATGGGTGTAAAACAAATTTGTAATTGCACGAATAAATTCTATTCTATTCTAATTCTATTCTATTCTAAGATTATTACACGATTTGGATCGTACCTCTCGCTGAAATCGTTTGTGAATTGCTACAAAATTGTGTTATATCAGTCCGATGGTTAGTTTAGTTTCAGTTTTGTCTGTTTTTTTCTTATTCTTTTTATTTTTTTATTTATTTTTTGTTTTCACTTTGTTTTCATTTGGTTTAAGTATCATTAGTTAGCTAACTTTAGATGTGTTTATGATAACTATTGGAAGATCGTGAAATAACTCATTTTGCTTCTTCAAATGCAGTTCTGAAAAAACGCCTTAAGCCTTTTTTGATTTGCAATGCATTCTACAGTGTTCAGGGCATTTTAAATGTAGAATGTGTAATTTAATTGTCAATGTTAAGGTACTGATAAGCGTAGAAATGAGGTAAGTGTGTAATGTTAATTATTTTGTTTTCCCTTTACTTCCTTTTATTTTTTGTAATGACTGACGAGTGTAAGAGAATTGTTCATTCTTAGAAACACAATAAAGTTATTATTATTATTATTATGGCGTAGTGGGACATCTGGTTTGTGGATTTTGGGTAATTCATATATCCTTGGAGGTACAGGGTACTTTTTGAAATAAAACATGTTGATTTGGCAGGAAAAATTCGAAGTATTTTTATTAAATGGTACTCAGTGATGACAAATTTAAAAACGGGTTATTTACAACAACAAAAAGGCACGATTTACATAATTATTACATAATCGACCTTAAACATACAACTTTTTTTAAAAAAAATAATTCAACAATAACAAAAATGAATATTCCAACAATCTCTTTTAAATTTAAACAAATAAATTCAATTTTCTTTGAGGTTTGCGAGGGTTCCTTTTAAATATTCACTTTATTGATAATAATTATTAATGACTAGCCTATAACACGGTTTGGATTGATTAAATTCGATTGAACAATCCGAAAAGAAATAATTATTTTTATTAAGGTGCAAAATATGAAGTGAAAATAAATTAAGAAAGAAGGAATCTTTAATTTTTACCCCACATCGTTAATTATTAGTAAGGTTAATTATTTTATTACTTGACGATATTTTATTACTTCGTAATTAATGAATAAATACGCTTAAATTGCTGTTTTCTTTATATAAAAAATCTTTCCCCTACAATGCGTTGTGCTTCTTAATTTCTATAGAAAAAATCGATTAAAAATCCATAATTAATTAATTCTTAAAGATTATATAATTTTTTATCCTAAGAATTCTTTCTAAATTGAATTCAGCGCTCGCAAAACCCGATTAATTCTTTCAAAACGAAATTAATTAAAGCTCACAATCATTTTTTTTTAGTTACAATTAATTATTTCGTATAAATTCTTTTTACGAGTACAATTAACAACGATAATTGGTACAAGCTGATCACAGAATTGCCCTAAAATGTGCCTCATTTCCGCCCTACAATACTTTTATTTACCTTTTTACTTTTAATACAAGTTTTTTTTTGTCATAAGAATTCCTTAATGCGTTTAAAATTAATATACAATATTTTCTTTTTAATTCTACGCACTATTTAAATAATAAAACAAAAAATAAGATTTCGATGTGGATTATTGTGGAATGTCTTTTTTTTTAAATCATCTATGAAATAAAATTGGTTAAACTTCTTTTCATAACATCCATTTTTTTTTAATATCACAAGGGATTCTTTTTTAATAAAAATGGCAAATTTTCAAATTTTTTAATAATGCACTTAGCGGGATAAACAAAAATAAATAAAACCTAAATTTCTTTTATAATTAATTATTTACAATATCCTATCTTTCTTCGTTTTAAATAAATTTCTCTCTTTCAATTAGAAATACTTATTATATCATTAGCATTTTTCTTTTTATTTAACTTATTTGTTTAACGTGTAAATAGAAAAAGATCTGTTGATATGTTAGCATTGTTTTTTTTTCTTTTTTAGCGAGACACCGTCTTCACAGCCGCGAAAAGAAAATATAAGAAAATCAAGAAAGGAAATTTTGGCTTTTTCAAAAAACGGAAAACCAAAAAATTGTTTTTCTTTTTGGTCGTCAATTTTTGCGCTTAAAAAACTATTCTTCTTCCGGTGCTGAAGTATCCACGCTGTTATAATGGTAAAAGAAGAATATAAGGAAAACTGAAAACGCTGAAGGAAACGTTATCCTTGCAATAACGTCGATCGTTTTCGCAACTCTAATTGGATGTGGTGGTTCTTTTTTATGAACCTGTAAAGTTGGAGTCTAATATTTTTTTACGAATTAGATATTAATCTAGCTAAAAATGTGCTAATAACAATTTTTGCCTGAAAATATGGTATATATTAATTAGAAGTTAATTTCTTACAAACATTTTTAAAAATAATAACATTTTATTTTTCCTGTGAACAGTAGGGTCCATTATACAGGGTGTTCCATCTCAGACGAGCCACCCCGTATATTTCTTATCCCATAGTGATTAGAAAAGTTTTCCGAAACCCGTCGAATGATTTTGTTTGGGGGACATCTTTTGACGTCATTTGAGGCTTGAACGAGCAACCCCCTAAGAGGGGGTGCTTCAACCCCTCAAAATTGAATAGGGGAGAGGGGTTGAGTGACACTTCATTTGAAAGGTCTTGGAAGCCTCTTTACAACGGTGTATGAAAAACGTAAATTTGATGAACCGTTTTCGCCAAAAATCAATTTTTTAGCTCAAATGAGCAACCTTGAATATTTTAGTTATAATAAAAAAATTGAATTGTTTTATCATGTTGTTTTATTTATCACAATCAAAAAATCAAATCTGCGTTTTTAAATCAAATGTTCAAATTGTCCTTGAGGGGTTCAAGCACCCCCTCTTAGGGGGTTGCTCGTTCAAGCCTCAAATGACGTCAAAAGATGTCCCCCAAACAAAATCATTCGACGAGTGTCGGGAAACTTTTCTAATCGCTATGGGATAAGAAATATACGGGGTGGCTCGTCTGAGATTGAACACCCTGTATGTACATATATCATAGCAATTCATGGCATTAAAAAGTGTTTCATATAAATATAATTTAAAATGTGATTTAAAATTGATTATTTTAATAAAAAATTTTAATATCTCTGCTAGGTGACGCTGAAAAATTGTATTTTTGAGGTTATCTTAATAATTATTGATCGTATTAAAATTTTTTGTAAACAATATTTGTTTACATTCACATTATAAACAACTTTTATTAATAACATTTTTAAAAATACTAAAATTTTAATTTCCCTGTGAACAGTATGGTCCATTAAATGTCACAGTAATTGACGACATGTTGTTTTAATCGAAAAATGTTTTATACAACTTTGAATTGATATTTGATTTCAACTCGATTATTTTAATAAAACTGTTTCACACCTCCACCAGGTGGCGCTGTATACTGTTATAAATTTATATTTTTGAGGTTATCTTAATAATCATTAATCGTATTAAAATATTTTGTAAACAATATTTGTTTACAATAAAATTATAAACAACTTTTGTTAATAACATTTTTTAAAATACTAAAATTTTAATTTCCCTGTGAATAGTATGGTCCATTAAATGTCACAGCAATTGACGACATGTTGCTTTAATCGAAAAATGTTTGATACAAATTTTATTTCACATCGATTAATTTACTAAAACTTTTTCACATCTCCACCAAGTGGCGCTGTATACTGTTATAAATTTATATTTTTGAGGTTAACTTAATAATTATTGATCGNTATTACATCCATGGTTTTATTTTGACACTGTCACACCGCAAGCGCTATCTAACGGACAATTTAACTTGTTTTAGGCAGTGCGGTTCCTACGTCACAGAAAAGCCGCGAAATTATTTCGTTTGAATATTTGCTATTTTTCACTTCAAATTACGCAAAATATAAAATTGATCAAAATATTTCTTTTACTTTGTGTTCATGCATATACTTGCATATATCGTTTGACATACAAATTTTCTCTAAATTTAATAAGTGTGTATGACCCCATTGACGACATGTTGCTTTAATCGAAAAATGTTTGATACAAATTTTATTTCACATCGATTAATTTACTAAAACTTTTTCACATCTCCACCAAGTGGCGCTGTATACTGTTATAAATTTATATTTTTGAGGTTAACTTAATAATTATTGATCGTATTAAAATTTTTTGTAAACAATATTTGTTTATAATTAAATTAGAAACAACTTTTGTCAATAACATTTTTAAAAATATTAAAATTTTAATTTCCCTGTGAACAGTATGGTCCATTAAATGTCACAGCAATTGACGACTGTTGTTTTAATCGAAAAATGTTTGATACAACTTCGATTTAAAATTTGATTTCAAATCGATTATTTTAATAAAATAATTTAATAAAACTGTTTCACATCTCCACCAGGTGGCGCTGTATACTGTTATAAATTTATATGTTTGAGGTTATCTTAATAATTATTGATCGCATTAAAATTCTTTGTAAACAATATTTGTTTATAATTAAATTAGAAACAGCTTCTGTCAATAACATTTTTAAAAATACTGAAATTTTAATTTCTCTGTGAACAGTATGGTCCATTAAATGTCACAGCAATTGACGACTGTTGCTTTAATCGAAAAATGTTTGATACAACTTTGATTTGAAATTTGATTTCAAATCGATTATTTTAATAAAATTGTTTCACATCTACACTAGGTGGTGCTGTATACTGCTGTAAAGTTATATTGTTGACGTTATCTTAACAATTATTGATAATATTAAAATGTTTTGTAAACAATATTTGTTTACAATCAAATTACAAACAACTTTTCTTAATAACATCTTTAAAAATAACAAAATTTTAATTTCTTTGTGAACAGTATGGTCCATTAAATGTCACAACAATTGACGCCATGTTGTTTTAATACAAAAATGTTTGATACAACTTTGATTTGAAATTTGATTTCAAATCAATTATTTTAATAAAAGTTTTTCACATCTCCACCAGGTGGCGCTGTATACTGTTATAAATTTATATTTTTGAAATTATCTTAATAATTATTGCTCGTATTAAAATTTTCGGTAAACAATATTTGTTTACATTCAAATTATAAACAATTTTTATTAATAACATTTTTTAAAATAATAAAATTTTAATTTCCCTGTGAACAGTATGGCCCACTAAATTAATGTCACAGCAATTGACGACATTTTGTTTTAATCGAAAAATGTTTGATACAACTTTGATTTGAAATTTGATTTTAAATCGATTATTTTAATAAAACTGTTTCACATCTCCACCAGGTGGCGCTGTATACTGTTATAAATTTATATTTTTGAGGTTATCTTAATAATTATTGATCGTATTAAAATTTTTTGTAAACAATATTTGTTTATAATTAAATTAGAAACAACTTTTATCAATAACATTTTTAAAAATACTAAAATTTTAATTTCCCTGTGAACAGTATGGTTTATTAAATGTCACAGCAATTGACGACATGTTGTTTTAATCGAAAAATGTTTAATACAACTTTGATTTGAAATTTGATTTTAAATCGATTATTTTAATAAAACTGTTTCACATCTCCACCAGGTGGCGCTGTATACTGTTATAAATTTATATTTTTGAGGTTAACTTAATAATCATTAATCGTATTAAATTTTTTTGTAAACAATATTTGTTTATAATAAAATTATAAACAAGTTTTGTTAATAACATTTTTTAAAATACTAAAATTTTAATTTCCCTGTGAACAGTATGGTCCATTAAATGTCACAGCAATTGACGACATGTTGCTTTAATGGAAAAATGTTTGATACAACTTTGATTTAAAATTTGATTTCAAATCGATTATTTTAATAAAAGTTTTTGATATCTCCACTAGGTAGCGATGTATACTGTTACAGAAAACTATATTTTTGAGATCCTCATTAGATTAAAATTTTCTATAATAAATATCTGTTTACAATCAAATTATAAATAATTTTTGTTAATAACATTTTTAAAAATAAGTAAATTTTAATTTCCCTGTGAACAGTACTGCTTCTTATCGTGCCAATTTAGGGCATTAAGTATTCTATAAGTATCATATTAATAGCATAGCATATTTTCAGACAAAGGGTGAATTACTTGATTTTTTATAAAATGTAAAACATAAAAACCAGTTAATATGTTAAACAAAAACAACGTAAAAGTTAATCGTATAATTTAAAATATTCGTTTTGTGTTTTACCTCTGTTGTACATCCATTATTAGCAGTGTGCGTGCAGGGATTTGGTCCGCAAGCTGTACAAGAGACGATCTCGTTGGTCACCACGGCGGTGTCCCTTTTCTTGTCGCTCTGTTATTTTTTTTTGTTGTCGGAGACGAACAAAGAAAAAGAAAAAACACGAAGACGGTTTTTTAGAACGAAAGCCCATCACCAAAACGATTTTATTTTTTAAGATAATAAAGCTATTATAGGCCGAACTAAAGCTTACCAAAATAAAAAATAAAAATTAATAAGAATAATAATACCAACCCGGATTATTATTAAATTATTTGTTATAAAAATTTTTTTTTGTAACTACTTCCACGTGCAAGCAAAAATATCGTGTTTAAAAAGGGATTAATTTCTTTTTAGTTGTTAAATTTAAATTAATAAAATAATAATTAGTAATAATTTTTGGTTTAAATAAATTAAACTTACACTAGCTACAGGTCGTTCACAAAACCTTGATAATTGTTCTTGTTGAATCGGCCCCTATTTTAATATTAATTTAAATAAAAAATAATAAAAACATAAATAATCAACACAATAAATAATAATAATAAAATCAATTTATAACTTATTTTGCAATTTCAACGATTTTCTTCTAATTAATTTAAGTAATGATAATCACATATTTTTACTTCGAAAAAAAAATTGTATTCATGTTGTGAGAATTAGAATAAGCACAGCTCTAAAAGCTTTATTAAAAGCGAAAAAAGCTTCTCATCAAAAGTGATTATTTTTTGTTATTTTTATTTATTTTGGAGTGTAAGCGAAAGAACAAAGCTCTAAGCATGCAGTTAATAACAAAAAAAACGATATTTTTCTTCAATACGATTCGGATTTTATGTTTAAATTAAAAATATCGTTTTCTTTCTAATTTTATTTTTAAATAGCGGTAGATTTTTTTATGGGTGCTCCAAATTTATTAAATATATATAAATATGTATATGTTTTTCAATAATAAAAGGTTTCAAATATTTAGAATTTAAAGGGAAAAGGGAAGGATGAGAATAAACCGTTGGCTTACCAAGGGACTGGCCAAGATTATGCCTATCCGACTGAGAACAGCGGGTAATCGCTGTAACATTAATCAAGACATTGTTTTTTTGTCAAAAGAAAAAGTGAGGAAATTGGAAAATTTTTATCGCACCAATCAATTAATTAAGATTAATTATTAAAAAATTGTTTGTTAATTCTGTTTCGTTTCCTACACGCTGTTATAGTATTGCAAACAACACCAAACAAAGTGAAGGAAGTTTTTTAATTGTTAAAATAAATTAAAATTAAATAAATGAAGATTAAATAAACAAAATGTGTTTTTTTATTTTATTCCCAAAAGTATTTTTAAAACTAAATTGTCTTTAAAAGCAATAGATGGCGCGACTCAATCCATAGAATCGAATACAATTAAGATAATAGATGGCGCTAATAAATTTTGTATACTTTTGAAAATAACATCATGCACTAAATAAAAATTCATGCAAAGTTAGAAAGTTTGGAAGAAAGATAGAGTTTTGCAAAAATCGAGGTGTATGTATATTAAAAAAAAATAATAAAAAACATTTAAAACCAACAAATTAGAATGCAATCGGACGGAAATGGGAACGCAAATTTATTAATTGTATTTTTGAATAAAATTTGACCTAACCTCTTTCTAAATATCGTACTTTTAAAAAGTTCTCTAATAAGTATTCTAAAAAGTTGTAAAAATTACTAAATAATAAATAAAGAACTATAATTTATTACTTGAAATTTTTTTGAAATTTGAATATGAGAAAAGAAATTTACCTGAATAACTGGATTTTCTCCGGGTCGATAAACGACGTTATGCAAAGGCCTTTTTCTTCCGACGTAATTTACGCAGACAAACTCCAAAAGTGACGCGTAAATAAAACACATGCAAACACCGTCCCAAACGTTCATCGCCGTTAAATTAGAAACGACCGGCAACGTTGAACGGAAACCGTTTGATGTTGTGAAAAAGTTGAGCATTGTTGTTACACCTAAAATAATAAAAAAAATTATGCTCTTTATAAACACCGTTAGATTATACTATAATCAAGCAATCAGAATCAAATATTCTGCAAGCAGTGTACAATCTTTTATTATCAGTAGGTATCTACTTTGTTACAAACAATATTTAGTGTTCCATTAACAGTATTTATTCATCTGCCAGCAGTATATAATGTTCTGCAAGTACTATCCAGACTTCTGTCAGCAGTATTTAGTTCTTCATAAGTAGTAAGTTTTATAGGGAGATATTATTCTTCCAATAACATTCTGATAGCAGTATTGAGTCTTCTATTAATAGTATCTAGTCTTCCTTTAGGACTATCTGATCTTATACCAGCAATATTTAGTATTGTACCAATGTTTAGATTTCTGACAACAATATCCTGTCTTCTGTCAGCAGTATTTAATTCTCAGTATGTAGTAACTTTCATAGGAAAGATTTAGTTTTCTATTAGCAATATCCAGTCTTCTATTAGGAGTATCTAGTGTTCTGCCAGCAATATTTAGTCTTCTACCAGCAATATTTAGTCTTCTATCAGCAATATTAAGCCGTTTGACAGCAATAGTTAGTCTTCTAACAGCAATAATTACTCTTCTGTCAGCAGTATGTAGTTCTCGGTAGGAAGTAACTTATATAGGAAAGATTTAGTCTTCTATTAGCAATATACAGGTGTCTCGGTGACTCGGGGAACAAATGTAACCACATGTACTAGAGTGAAAATGATGACGATTCATGTAAAAAAAATTAGTAAAAATCCTCAAATTGCAAAGATTTTTCTTTTGGTACAGTGTAAACTAATATCACGTAAAATCATTAAGCAATTTTTGAGTTGGATCGGTACGCGGGAACAATGCTATAGAGGCTGTTCCTAAAGTTTGTTTGCTTAGAACTTTTTTATTCTATTATAACCCTACATTTATTTTTGCAGTTTCTAATAGTAAATTTAGTTTAGAAACTTTTATCACTCTTAGAGAATATTGATAAAAACCACCGTTTTCGTATTAAATGCAATAATGTCAAGCTCCGAATTCAATAACACTAAAAAAAAATCGAACTGAGCTGTCATAACTATTATGTATGCAACATGTCCAAGTGTAGATTTAGCTAAATCACATTTTTAATTTGTTTTAGTTGGTTTAATAAAAGAATCCAAAAACAATACATTAAAAATCAACAAAAAATAAATAAAAAAACGACAACACTAACAGGAATAATAAAAAAAATAGATAAAATAACAAGACAAGTAATAAGAAATACTAAAGGAAATGTTCAAAAACTTAGATTTCGTTTTTTTTAGTGCTATTATTGAATTCGGAACCCAACATTTCAAAACGGTTATTTTTATCAATATTATCTAAGAGTAATAAAAGTTTCTAAACTAAATTTAGTATTAGAAACTGCAAAAAATAAATCTAGGGTTATGATAGAATAAAAAAGTTCTGAGCAAACAACCTTTAAGAACAGCCTGTATAGCATTGTTCCCGCGGACCGATCCAACTCATAAATTGCCTAACGATTTTACATAACATTTATTTATACGGTACCAAATTTCAGCGCTTTACTCTAAATAGTGTTTAAGATATTTGGAAAAACGTGTTAAAATTTCTTAACTTTGATGGCCTGTATCTTTGAAATTTTAAGACTTTTACTAATTTTTTTTTATATGAATCGTCATCATTTTCACTCTAGTATATGTGACTACATTTGTTCTCTGAGTCACCGAAACACCTGTATAGTGTTCCATTAAGAGTATCTGGTGTTCTGCCAGCCATATTTAGTTGCGTTGCGCAACCAATTGCATTATCTAAGAGATTTGTGCGACACATTGTGTAATAGCGACATTTTCTTCTCATGTGTGTTAGTAGAAGGTGGTTATATTGCTTCTCTCAATATTGTATCTTGTTTTTGTATATGTGGTGTTACCATGACCAATAATTCATCAAAAGTAGTGGGATCTATTCGTAAATAATTTTTATCTACGACTGCTTGGGTAAGTCATCATTACCGCACTCATTTGAGGTGATTTGAGTTACGTAATGAAGTTCATTGCCGCACTGGTTTCATTACGTAACGCATTTTTAGCCTAATCAGAACAGACTTAATTTATTGAAACGAGCAACAATACAAAAGAAAAAGTGCTATCTACTTTGCCAGCAATATTTAGTCTTCTATCAGCAATATTAAACCGTCTGGCAGCAATAGTTAGTCTTCTAACAGCAATATCCAATCTTCTGTCAGCAGTATCTCGTTCTCGGTAGGAAGTAACTTATATAGGAAAGATTTAATCTTCTATTAGCAAAATATAGTTCTCCATTAAGAGTATCTCGTGTTCTGCCAGCAATATTTACTCTTCTAGCAGCAATATTAAGCCGTCTGGCAGCCATATTTAGTCTTCATATTTAGTCTTCTAACAGCAATATCCAATCATTTACCAGCAATATCTAGTTCTTGGTAGGTAGTAACTTATATAGGAAAGATTTAGTCTTCTATTAGCAATATCTAGTCTTCCATTAGGAGTATCTGGTGTTCTGCCAGCAATATTTACTCTTCTAGCAGCAATATTAAGCCGTCTGGCAGCCATATTTAGTCTTCATATTTAGTCTTCTAACAGCAATATCCAATCATTTACCAGCAATATCTAGTTCTTGGTAGGTAGTAGTTTATATAGGAAAGATTTAGTCTTCTATTAGCAATATCTAGTCTTCCATGAGGAGTATCTGGTGTTCTGCCAGCAATAATTAGTCTTCTACCAGCGATATTATCCCGTTTGGAGCTATATTTAGTCTTCTAACAGCAATATTACGCCGTTTGGAGCAATATTTAGGCTTCTAACAGCAATATCCAGTCTTCTATCAGCAGTATCTAGTCCTAGGTAGGATGTAACTTGTATAGGAAAGATTTAGTCTTCTATTAGCAATATCTAGTCTTCCATGAGGAGTATCTGGTGTTCTGCCAGCAATAATTAGTCTTCTACCAGCGATATTATCCCGTTTGGAGCTATATTTAGTCTTCTAACAGCAATATCCAGACTTTTATCAGCAGTATCTAGTTCTAGGTAGGAAGTAACTTATCTAGGGAAGATTTAGTTTTCCATTAACAGTATATAGTGTTTTGCTAGCAATATTTAGTCTTCTAACAGTAATATCCAGCATTCTATCAGGAGTATCTAGCTCTCAGTAGGAAGTAACTTATATTGGAAAGATTTAGTCTTCTACCAGCAATATTAAGCCATCTGGCAAGCATTATCCAGTCTTCTGTAGCAATATGTAGTCTTCTAACAGCAATATTACGCCGTTTGGAGCAATATTTAGGCTTCTAACAGCAATATCCAGTCTTCTATCAGCAGTATCTAGTCCTAGGTAGGATGTAACTTGTATAGGAAACATTTAGTTTTCTATTAGCAATATCTAGTATTCCATTAGAAGTATATAGTGTTTTGCCAGCAATATTTAGTCTTCTACTAACAATATTAAGCCGTCTGGAAGCAATATTTAGTGTTCTAACAGTAATATCCAAATTATGTATAGTGTATGAGTAACCTTGTTTGCATAATAACATGTTGTGCAACGTCAGTTTGCGCAATTTCCAATAAGAGAATGTCTTTTTTTTTCGTTTGCGCAATGTCTTCCATTAAGAGTATCTGATGTTCTGCTAGCAATATTAAACCGTCTGGCAGCAATAGTTAGTCTTCTAACAGCAATATCCAATCTTCTCTCAGCAGTATCTAGTTCTCGGTAGGAAGTAACTTATATTGGAAAAATTTAGTCTTTTATTAGCAAGATCTAGTCTTCCCTTAAGAGTATCTGATGTTCTGTCAGCAATAATTAGTTTTCTACCAGCAATATTACGCCGTTTGGAGCAATATTTAGGCTTTTAACAGCAATATCCAGTTCTTCTGAAGTAACTTATATAGGAAAGATTTAGTTTTCTATTAGCAATATCTAGTATTCCATTAGCAGTATATAGTGTTTTGCCAGCAATATTTAGTGTTATACTAGCAATATTAAGCCGTCTGGAAGCAATATTTAGTCTTCTAATAGCAGTATCTAGTTCTCGGTAGGAAGTAACTTATATAGGAAAGATTTAGTTTTCTATTAGCAATATCTAGTATTCCATTAGCAGTATATAGTGTTTTGCCAGCAATATTTAGTCTTATACTAGCAATATTAAGCCGTCTGGAAGCAATATTTAGTCTTCTAATAGCAGTATCTAGTTCTCGGTAGGAACTAACTTATATAAGAAAGATTTAGTCTTCTATTAGCAATATCTAGTCTTCCATTAAGAGTATCTGGTGTTCTAAAAGCAATATTTAGTCTGCTACCTGCAATATTAAGCCGTCTGGCACTAACATTTAGTTTTCTAATAGTAATATCCAGTCTTCTCTCAGCAGTATGTAGTTCTCGGTACGAAGTAACTTATATTCTAGTGCTCGGTATGTAGTAACATTTATAGAAAAGATTTAGTCTTCTATTAGTAACATTTAATCTTCCAGTAAGAATATCTACTTTTTTACCAGTAATATTTAATCTCCTACCAGCAACATTTAGTCTTCTGACAGCAATATTTAGTCTTCTAACAGCTATATCTAGTTCTCGGTAGGAAGTAACATATATAGGAAAGACTTGGTCTTCTATTAACAATTTCAAGTCTTTCATTAGGACTATCTGGTGTTCTGTCCACAATATTTAGTCTTCTTCCAGCAATATCCAGTCTTCTGTCAGCAGAATCTAGTTCTCGTTATGTAGTAACTTTTATATGAATGATTTAGTCTTCCATTAGGAGTATCTAGTCTTTTGCCAGCTTAATATTTCTTATTAAGTCTTTAGTTCTTTTGACTTTTTTACTTAAATATAAATGTTTTAACTTACCTATCATTACCCTTGCTGGAACAGCATTCCATTCCAACCAAAATGTAATAAACGAGGACGTGACCAGAATAATTCCCGGTATGAATACTGTAGTAAAATAAAAAGCTCTATCTCTAGTAAATTTTAAATCGACTTTCAAACAACTGTAGTTTCCTAAAAGAAAAAAAAATAAATAACAACGTATTATTTTATTTTAAACAAAAATTATTGTTCTCTACATTAAATAAATGTGTGTTGTACAAAAAAATAAATAAATGTGTCTAAAAAATGTGTGCTGCATTGACGTGTGTATGTGTTTTTTTTTCTTTGAGCTGGTGAAGTGTTGATATTTTTTTTATTTTTGTGCGAGGCGAAAGCACCGAATATGATTCCTAAGACATAACAAGAACGAAGAAGCTGATTTGAGCTTTTCTACTTGATTTATTTACTTTTTTTTGCTTTTACAAATTTGTTACCTTCATTCTCTGACGGTTTCTGGCAATAATTACAACTCAGACATCCGTCGCTATTGCATAGGCGGCTTCCTGAAAACACGATATTCTAGTGTATGCAAACGAGGAAAGTGTTTTCTTTGTTTAAAAAAAAAATAATAAAAAAAAAGTGTATTATATTATTTTTGATGTTTCAATTTTAATTTCTTAGGAATCATATTTTTTTTAAACCGCCCACACAAAACGCTAAAAATAATTTTTAAAGAACATAAATTAATGGAGCATTTTAAAATGTACCTCTCCAGCTGGATTTTGTTGGACAAGCGGACGTTTGATTTTCTATTAAATATGCGTTGAGCGATTTTAAACTCGGCGATTTCCTTAAAACATCTTCACCATTCTTCCAAACGTATTGAATCATCGATTGTTCGTAAGAAACTAATTAAATAAAAAAATTAATTCAATTTCTTTTTAATTATAAAGAAACTTACTACTCTCCATGGCGAAAGTACATAATGGATCATCGAATGGGAAAATGTGTAAACTTCCTTGACACGATAAAATCAAGTGCCTCCTAAAACAACATAAAAATAAATGACGAAACAAAGTAATTTAATTTAATTTTACCTCATAAGATAATTAACCGTTCCATTTCGATGGATTTTAAGTGAAAAATGGACCGGGATAACGGGATCTTTAAAATCCCCGTGCATAATAAAATAAGTATCTGGCAGCCAAATGTCATTGTAATGGTGAATAGCGTTCAAATACTCGTATTTACTCTGGTTACCGTATTTTAATCTTGGGTCGTACCATTGTTGTTGCAATAAGAATTCCACTTCGTATTTCTGCATTAAAAACAATCAATTTTTTAAATTAATTTAAACATTTAGTAGCTGTATTTACCAAGCTTGATTCATCGGGAGAAGCTAAACTTAATAAAAGAACGCTCACGTTTACTGTTAAGGTACCTAAAAAATATAAAATTAATAATTAAGAATTTGACTTTCGTTTTAAACTAAGAGGAGCTAAATTAATTAAAAGTCAAAGTTATCCATTTTACCAGTATATGTTTTAAGTTTAAATAAACGACTTTGTAGTACTTTAACTGGTTTTATTATCGAAAATTTTTTTTTATTCGAACTAGTTTCGCCTATAATGCCATCCTCAGAGATTCTACAAGAAATTTTATATAATGAAAAAATAATGAATTTTACAATAATCTTTTTTTCTTTTTTTAGAAGAGACACCACCAATGACAATGGTCGTGAGATTAAAGAGATCAAAGAAATACAACATGTAATTGTAGAGGTAGAATACAGAAGAAAGCAACACGAAAAATTATTGTACAGGGTGTCCCAATTTCGATGTCCGCATAGGCCATCTCCGAAACTAAAAGAGATAGAAAAAAAGTACCTTACATGTCATGATCTCGTTTTTCGAGAAAATGCTAATGCCGAAAACTCCGAACAGGTATCGTCTTTTGTTTTCGCCCTATCGGCAAAAACTGAAAATTTTGCAAAAACGACAATCGCGAATATCTCACTTATTATCAAAAATGGAGTATTATAAATAAAACATCATATGGGCAATTTTTTACGAAGAATTCAGTGGCGTAGGTAGAATTTTTTTCCCATCTTTTATTTTCGAGATTTTAGACGTAACTTTATTTTTTTAAATGGAAACCATAGTTGGCTATGACTTAAAATAATTTGTTATTTTCTTCTGATAACAAATATATATAGTTTGTGGGGTATATTTCTTATGGTTATTGAATAATTAACAAAAATTCATTTTGTTCTGTCTAAAACTAATGTATGTATTTAAAAGTTAATGTTGCTATGGTGATAACCATACATACTATGATGGAACATAATGTATCAAATAATTGCCAAAGTTTGTATTTAAAAATTCGATAACAACTCTGGCATTATGTGCTGGTACGATGCACCAGCATGTTAAGTGTCAAAGTATAACAAAACTGAATAAAACTTTACAATGAATTTCGAAAATTATGAAAAATGTAACATGATGGAATGCTATATGTTATCAGATAAGAATGCGACGTTAGCCGCGGAATTTTATTTCACAAGATATCCAGAAAGAAGACAACCGCACGTACGAACCTTCAGCCGGTCAGCAGAAAATTTAATAGATATTTGGTCCTTCCCCAAACCACATACAAAAACATACCAAAATGACCTGCAAGAGAAATTGCAACAAGACGTCTGACCCAAAAGCCGCTGCTCCCGAATATGAAAGAAAAATAAGTATAAACCATACAAAGCGGGGCTAACTCATTATTTACGTGCCGGAGATGTCAATCGAAGATTAGAATTTTGTAGATGATATTTAAAAAAATTAAATAATCTGCTGTTTGTTCAAAATGTTATCTGGACCGATGAAGTCTCTGAGTGTTCAAAGAAGATTGGGGTTCAATGTATGGTGTGCCCTTTTAGATAATAGAATTTTGGCATATAGTATCTACCATAAAAACTTAAACTCAGGGAAATACCTCAATATATTAAGGCAGCACATTGAGCCTTTGGTCGACAATTTGCCACTAAATATGTCTCAAATGATATATTTTCAATATGACGGAGCACCAGCACATAATGCCAGAGTTGTTAGTGAATTTTTAAATACTACTACAAACCCAAGGACAGTAGAATCTAACAGGACTGCTACATCCATTGTTGTGACAACCTGCCCGCAAACTACGTCACACCATTTTCCACGCCCAGCTGTTGTTATGCTCTATGCGTTTGCTGTGTGTTTTTAGAGGTTATATCCTAGACGTATTCATATTAGTTTTGAAGTTTTATGTTTTTAGACGTGTTAATGTCTATCATATAACCTCTAAAAACACAGACAGTTACCAGGCGTGGCAAATAGTGTGACGTAGAGTGCGGGCAACCAACCCGTAGTGGACTACAAAAATACAATGGATGTAGCAGTCCTTTGGAGACAACCATATAAAGTAATTCTGGAAAGCGATATTGAAAATCTGTTTAATATCAATGAAAGTACAATAATCGGCGACTAATATAGCAAGCATCAAACATGGGGATGTAGAGTTTCAAACCCTGCTGGAAAAAAACTATTGAACTTGTCTAACATATATAATTTTCAAATATCAGCTCCATATAGGTAAGACCATCAATCGGATATATTAGATATTCAACTCATAATGCGTTCTATCGAAATTAGACCATCTCCCGGTAATAATTAAGTATTATACAACACCCACAATAATCCCAAAACAATTCACTTATTAATGGTAAAATAAATTGGAAACTATTTCAAGACAGATGTACAATAAATTTAAATAATAATGCTCTTCTGACCACAGAAGAACAAATTAATACACGAGTATCGCCACAACGCCACAGAAATCCAGAAGCCAGAACATTATTTAACCGATTGTTGCATCGAGTAAAAAGAGAATTAGAAGTATATCGCGTTGAGTCATACCAATAATACATATCCAATACCAGTGTTGTTAAATACCCGTGTATTTAATTTCAAGGGTAAATTTCCTGGATATACAGGGTGTATCTGAATGACTGCAACAAACTTCAAGGGGTGATTCTTCAGTGAATTTTGAAGGGTACTTTCATATATGAACCATGGGCGACTTCGGCCCCCCAGGGAACCACGCCCCTCCAAAAATTGCGGAAAATTTTGGTTTAATTTTTTTTTCTCAAAAACCATAAACGCTAGGAAAATGAAATTTGGGGAATATGTTTAACTTTCATCCTACCCTTTTAAACTACTAAACGTAACCACCCCCTTTACATTTTTGCTAAAATTTTTTATATGCAGATGATAAATACATTAGAAAAATTTTACATAGGTAGATGAAAGTATCCTAAAACTTTTTTGTCTCTCTAAAATTTTCCCAAAAACAACTAATTTTTACGAAAAAAAATAATAAAGCAAACACTGCCCGTTAAACAACGGGGTTGTCGATCAAAAGTTGAAATGAATTTTGATTGAAAAAATCTTAGTAGGCTTTGCAATCTTTGTCAGAAGTATTTTTGACGTTTAAATGTCAGTTTTTCTTACTATTATTATTGTTTTTCAAATTAATTTTTGAATAAAGTTCTATCGCATTTACGCTCGTTCACTCGACGTTTCAAAATTTTAAATAAAACAATAGTAATGTCAGAAAACCACTGATATTTAAACGTCAAAAATATTTCTGACAAAGATTGCAAAGCCTACTAAGATTTTTTCATTAAAAATTCATTCCAACTTTCGATTAACAACCCTACAGCTTAACAGTTAGTGTTTGCTTAATTATTTTTTTTCTCAGAAATTATTAA